TCATTACTGTCTATTCGTCCGCCTGATTCTTCTTTTTCATTTTTTGATATTAGGTTTTATATTGAATTTATGTTTTGTGGGCATTAAATATGGGCATTGAACACCGCCAGTGAATATTTCAATAAGTGTTGAGTATGTACATTGAATATATATATGATAATAGACATGTTGTACATGGCAGTGAATGAATGCATTAAGAAATTTTGTTGTGCATTGATTATGACCAGTAATGCAATAACACAGAGCAGTGATATCATCATGAAATACAATATACTTAATTAGGCGTAAAATAATAAAATTATTAAATCTAAAAAACAAAAAAAAAATCTCAAGTGAATGAGAAGAGAATTAATTTTGGCGGAAGTGCAGTGATTATTACAGGATGTGCAGTAAAGTTGTGCATTAATTTTGTGCAGTAACGACAATATAAAGTGCAGTAATTTTAATTGGACGAAATTAGTGCAAAATGCACATATTTTAAATAGGGGTATTTTTGTCATTCAACCTTTATATATAAACGAAATTTCTCTTTTTATTGGATTTTCGGTCATACAAAAGTTTAAAACTAGTTAGGTCATAGATTGAGAAACTCATTAAGTTTTAGTCATATCCTAGCTAGGACATCTATCTATATACAAACTAGAGTGGAAAAGTAGCCGGGTTTCCCGCCTAAATAATATGGATACAAAAACGGGTCGGATCTCAATGCCATTATTATTGTATGGCCCACGTTCGAGCACTATCTTGCTAATCCGCTCAAGCACACCACTGGGTAAAGATGTGAACTAAGACGAAGAAAAAAAGATGTGAACTGTCATTATTATGGAGTATTTTTTGTGTGAACTAAGATGAAAAAGTATCACTATTGCACATTGGGTGATGAGAAAGTTGTCGAAGTCAACTGCTCAAACACACAATTGTTTATTCATCGGGTAAAACATAGCCAACTTCAATCGGGTACGACTATATCCACCTATTGTCGGGCAAAGAGCGAGCTACCATAGTATGAAGATGAAGTGGGTATGAAAGGGAGTACGAGGGATATCCAAAAGTGCAAAATATGGAGGAACCTGCTTTCTTGTTCACCGAAAACCTAAAGAGATGGGATAAATCGGAATCCACAACTTCAATAGATCCAAATTTTCTTTCCCTGTGACGGTGGGTGTACAACGTTGGTAACAACGGCACAATGCGTCCGGCAGAGAGAAGCTTAGGTCAACTGCAACAGAGGAATTACAACATAATCGACTGCTAGATCGGGCTTCCTACATCGAACATACGGTGATATATATGGGCTCAGCCTTCCGGCAGAGAAACAACAATGGCGAAGGTGTGACCGAGCACCCAACTACGACCAGATAGAAACGATGGCCGGACTATAAAATTGACTACACGAGCGCACATCTCTCAACTTCAGCCGACATATCATTCATTACTCAGAAGCTTGCCTAATAATCGACAAAACATAAAGATGTGCGGGTCCTACCAAGATTGGTGAGCATGAGGCGCTACTAAGCAGCTTCCTACCCAAGCCCATGGTCAGGTATCCTCTGGCGACAATTTAGACAAACTTTACGACTTAAAGAAGTTATGTATCTTATTTGAAAGAAAAGCATTTGGATTCAATATTGTTGATAGCAATGCTATTAGTATATCTGAAATCAAGCATGGATTTATATATGCGGGTTTGGAACACCGCAAGAATCAATAATAACAACAAAAAAGAGAAATTAATAAAAATGGAAAAGAATAATGCAATCATCATCATCTTAGCTCTCTGTGTTAGCCCTTGCAGGTACAACTCACTATGTCCGCCAAAAGTTCAATGTGGAGGGAAAGGTTAATTGTGATACTTGCACTCTAATGTATTTTTCTCCAGGTTTGGGGCGTCTGGTGTCAATGTGTGGTCGAATCGGTATTGCTGTATTTTTTCATAAATATACTCTATATCATCAAAACATCTTTATAATGTAAGGGTTAATCTCATTTTCACACTCATCTTTAGTTTGATAGTTGTGTGTTTTTAATAATGGCTATGAGCAGCTCATTTGATAACCTATTTTAATTTGATTAGTCAAATTGATGAGTTTATTTTAAAGTTCAATTGATGATATTCCAGCTATTTAGTTTTTCGCTAATAATACTTTGAAAAATATATTTTGTTACAATTTTTATTTAACAAAATGCAATATACTACCAGGAGAACTGTTGGGAAGTTGTTATCTACCAGTAGTATTGCATATTTAAAATATTCTGGCCAGTTCCATTACTTCCACAGTATACTCCTCTTATTTTTCATTTTTATAATACTCTTACAATCCATGGTCCAAGAGAGCTATTGTTGCCTCTATCTTTTGATGACTTATTAAAATTACTTCATTTTTAGTGTCAATTTGAATTCATTTTAAATCCTACAAATGGTCAATTGGTTGAAATAATTTTTTTCTAAAATTTAATTTTACTTCCTTTAAGAAACAGTCAAAGAAAGGTTTCTAAATGGAACCTCATGTTGTCTGTGTTTTTATTGAATGTGTCATTTTTATTTAAAGATGTATTTAAATTTTAACATTGTTGCATAAGATCTATAATGTGAAAGGGAGTGCTGTCTATTTGCCTCCTGCTCTCTTCGATTTTTCTCCTAATAAACAAATTAGCGACGATGGGCAGTTGAGATATGGTGCCAGAATCAACGACGCGTAGTGGAAACCAACAAAATCAAGGGAATGGCGGTAGTTCCGGGAAGGAGGAGGCCGGCCGGCAATAGTTTATGATGACTGGAGCTTTCAACGAGATCAACTACTAACCTTGACAGGTTTGAACTTGTGGTTTGAATTATTTTTTTAAAATTAAATCCTTCGATTAATGTTATTAACTTATTTGAAATGAATATAGAATAATGCTTGCTATTGGTTTAATTTGATCTTGGGAAGGAAATTTGGGTGATGAGTCATATGTTCTAAGTGCTTCTGTGCTCACGTGTTTTATTTTTGTCAAAGCTATTGTTATCTTCATAACTATTTGTTGGTTTTGTATATAGTTATATATTTTTAAGACATTTAAAAATTTGGCAGTTTAATTAATCTATAGATAGTATATTCTATCAGTATGTGTGAATAGCACAAAAGATGCAGTTTTATGTTAAAATATGTACCGATGGTAAAATGGGACGTAACGTACGTACCACTCATGTCCATCGGTTCAACCATCAAAACATCGTTCTTCTGCATACGTTTTTGCCGAATGATCTCTCTCAGCCATGACGAATTAAATTGATCGAAATACTTATTTTGGTGAGCAGATGATTCAATGCAATTTCAATTAGTTGCCTTACTTGCCTTCAATTGGGAACTATAGTAATATAAGTATTGTAATATTAATAGTAGGACTTTATAAATGGTATTCTGAAATGCTTTGGTGTTCACTGAGATTTGAAATGTAGAGCGATTTGAAATGTAGAAAGACTACAACGTGAGGATGCTTATCATGGAATCAATTTCATCTCTTGGAGTTGCTGATGTGCATAGTTTTATTTCTCTATTATTCTTTGAGTGCCTGGTGTGCATCATCTATATTTGTCTATTATTCTTATCCTCATGTGCCAAACTAATTGTCCGTTTATCTAAACATTCCTCAAATAATTTGGTTTATGAATTCATTCAATACTTTGCATTGATCTCTCTTTAACATTAAAATATGTGGTGTTTGGTTTCGGTTATTGGCGAGTCATAACATTTTATGTGTATTTTGATTATCCTCCCGACAGTTGTGAGTTTTTAGATCATTATTATTATTATATCCTATTATCATTTACTTAATTTTGTTCCGTGCAACGCACATGTGAGAATCTAGTTTCCCCTTAAAACAATGATTGCAAGTATCTCAGTAATACAAGGGGTGAAAAATATTCTTGTACTACGTACTTAAGTATACTCCGTATAATATTGCAATCAATATATATATATATAAGAGGACCTTTTTAAGAGCATACAAAGCGCCACATAATTCTGCCATGTAATCCATCATATATAACAATTATTTAGTTATTTTTATACTCTGTACCTTTTATTTTTATTGGATTCTATTTTTGATTGCATATTGATATGAAAACAAATGACTCTAGATTCCGTCACTTTTGAAATAGATCGATTCCTAATCTAAATTAGGAAATCTTTATATGTTTACAAATTCCTAATTTTGTTTACTCTTAAGATGTTTTTAATTAGATTGATTTCAGTCTCAGATTAAATCAGATCAGATCAAACTTTAATAATAATTGGACACATAAAATGTAAAACAGAAATCTACCAGATCATATTACTTTAGACCAAATCAAAGCCGAAAATTTTAATTCAATTAAAAACGTCCTTATTAATGATGTTTTCAATGTGATGAAATAATAAGTAAAATGTAAAATCTTACTATTAAAAGTATGTACTCCATATTTCATACCAAGTTGAATGAGGAATATTAAAAAATATATTTTGAGGCGCATAATAAAGTAATTTAGAGGACATGAAAATAAATAAGAAACTTCTCTATGAATTCTTTAAAATCAGGTTCATAACGATTATGCTTAGTAGAGAAGCTTATGTAGAAGACCATTTATAATATTTTTCATATAATTTCTATTTATTTAACAAATGGAATATTTTTTTCCCATGATTCAGGATATTCACCTATTCAACCTATTCAACTAGAATTTAATTAATTTCAGCAAAATAAACCAATTCCACCAATTTCAACTATAGAGTCCGTATGTATTATCAAACGGATTCTATATTTAGACTGAGTTTATTTTGCTTTTGTGTCACATTATATATGATTCTGAAAACCAATCAAATTTTAAATTAGATAAATTACATACCGCCCGTGCATCGCACGAGCTTGAAACCTAGTTTGGAAATATGAGTAAAACAAGCATTATTAATTAATTAATTAATTAATTTTTACCCTAAAAAGAGAATACAGTATAATGATCAAAAACATGAAACTAAAGCAACTTCACATGAATCTAGATTGGATTATCAAGAGGGAAATTTCAACAAATAGGTGCAAAACTTATGGATTTTTCAAAACTAAGACCAAATATTAGCGTGAGACTCAACTACATCTACATTGACCACAATACTCTTACTTTTAGAAAATAACAGACATTAAATAGATAATAAATAGACAATAAGTAGACAATAAATATCACAGCCCAGCGCAGCCCTCCGGCGTTCCACCCACCGCCACCCTCAGGTTTCTTAGTCGTCGCCGCCCTCCATGGTTCCAGCCGCTGCCCTCCGGCGTCTCAGCCTCCACCACCGCCTCTGGCATCTCAGCCTCCTCTGAAACCCTTCGGCGTCTCAGCCGCCGCCGCCCTCCGACGTCTCAGCCTCTGCCACGCACCGGCGTCTCAGCAGCGGCTGCCCTCAGACGACAACCTCATCTGTCAATCTACTCCAGCGACGAGGCCACAGCCACACATCAGCAGGAAAGTGGATTGAAGGGGCTGAAGGGTCAAATTGGAAGGAAAAAATAGAGTTTCCTGAAATAGAATTAAATAAATCACACGGATGGAAAAAACATGACGAAGTCCTATTTTTGTAAACTTGCATTGATTCAGTCTTACAAAGAGCAATTTTCTCTAATCAAGATTCAAAAGTCATTAATTAGCACTACTCAACTAACCTCTAGTAATTAATAATCCATAATAATCTAAAGGATGACAATAAAATACTACAAGCAGCTGCATGCTTTCTTCATCTGAGCCAGAACCTTTTGTATCTCCTTAACATTGCTGGTTGTGGTTGGATTGAAGTATGGATGCTCCTCCAGCAATTGCTTTGCAGTTGGCCTCTTCGCTGGATCTTCCCTAAGGCACTGTTTGGCTACATCTCCAAGGGGAGACTCCAACATCACACTCCTCCTCTTCTTGATCACTATCTCATCATCATATTTCTTTTCCCGGCCACCGAATGATAATAATGATAACTTCCTTAAGAACGATGGCGACGCAGATTTCGCGTCGCCGACGTAAAAGTCGTTAGCCAACAGCGACTCAAGTCCGGCGTATGTTGATACCGGAATCTCGTCACAGCCATAAACAAGCTCCAGAATGAAAAACCCGAAGTCCCAAATGTCCGCTGCCTTTCCGTGCACCATCTTAGAGTCTTTCGCCAACTCTGGCGCCATCCTGCACGGCGCCGTCTCACACATCAACTGGCCAAACCCTAGTTTCACAGTCGTGCACTCCGCGTCCATGTACACATTCCTGGCGCACACGCTGCCGTGCGCGTGGCCCCCCTCTGCAGCGTGGATGCAGTGTAAACCCTCTAGGGTTTGGCGGAGGAGAAAAGCCGCCGCCGCCGCATTGGGTAAGCCGTGCCGAAAAGATCGGGTCATCGTTATCATGGACCGCAGCGAAACCCTAGAAACGGAAGGCATGACTATCCAAAGGTGGTTGCGGTTCTTGGAGGACTTGAAGGTAGTGTGCACTCCGACGAGGTTCTTGTGGTCCCCGCAGTGCTTCGCCAGCCTGTAGGCTCCGACCGTCTCGAACACGCAGTCCAGTTTGTCGGTGTCGACGATCAGAATCTGGACGGGGTATGGAATCCTGGACGGCGGCGGCGCTGCGTAGGAAGCTTTAGTCATGACGGCGTAGGTGGTCGCGCGGATCGTTTCTTGAAGATCGTATGCATCTTCCGCACGAAGAAACCCTTCTCCCTCCATGCTTATTCAATTGATCTGTAGCTGCGCTATATAAGTATACCACAATCAATTTGTTTAGGTTTCGCCGTAGCGATTTACTAGTAGTATGAAGTAATTATATATACAATGTCACATGATCTTATCTATTTAGTGCAATCTTATCTATTAATTCATCTCTTTTAAAAGTTGTTTCCAAATATTTCTTTTTAAAGTTGTTTCCAAATACCGATTATTAACTTTTTACATTACATACTGCGTAATACATAAGTGATTTTACAATTTGTGATCTCAAAGGTTATGGCATATTGATGATATAGAACCACATATATATACTACTCCCTTTATTCCATAATTTATTCAAAATTATACTATGTACGTGGTATTAAATAGGACTGAAAGCAATGTCTTCAAAATAGAAGTGTTACAAATTAAAGGGGTGTTTGGTTAATGGTCTATGAGCCATTTTTGGCTATTTTGATAAATATTTGTCATTTTGATCAAATGAATCAACTAATAGAGGTGTTTGGTTACTTGACTTTTTTATTTAGCTTTTTATCCAAACGGCCAAATTATAAAAAGCCAGAAAACTTGGTGTTTAGCCGGTTTAGGCATCAGTTGATTCAGTTTCTCGCCCAATTTTCCTAATCTACCCACGCATAATATAATTCTACGCCCCCGCCCTTCTCTTCACTAATTCTCCTTCTCGACAAAAAAAATTGCACTTTTGCTCTCCATTTTTTCTCAATCTCTGTACTCTCTCTTGAATGATTTTCGTTTTCTATTTTACTTCTTTCAACCAATTAATGATGTACTACGTAGTTGTTTCTTTAGTGAAGTTGTTTCTTTAGTGACTTCGTATGGACAAGAATAATAAACAAGGCACTGCCAAATTGATGTTTTGATGCTATGAAAGAATAAGGAATGGATTTCAACTCATACATGCAAGTCTATGTCTGAAGCTCTTCTCTTCGTCTGATCAATTTTTTAAGATCCGATATGATCTGAATTTTTATGATTTGATCTGATCTGAATCTTTCTGATTTGATCTGAATCTTTCTGATCTGATCTGAATGTTTCTGATCTGATCTGATCTGGTCTGAATCCTTCTGATCTCATCTTGACTTTCTAAAGTGGTATATAATAATAATATCAATAATAATTATAATATAATAATAATAATATAATAATATATAATAATAATAATAATTACTATTATTATTATACTAATAATTATTATTATTATTATAATATAATCGATAATAATAGAATGTTTTCAATTTGCTATGAATGTTTCTGATCTGATCTGAATGCTTCTGATCTGATCTGAATGTTTCTGATTTGATCTAATCTGATTTGAATCTTTCTGATCTGATCTGAATTTTTCCGATCTGATCTGAATTTTTCCGATCTGATCTAATCTGATCTGAATAAAATAAGAATAAGTAGTAAGTAATAAGAATAAGACGAACAGAACAACTTCTCAATTCATCAAATGGGTTGTTGCTTTTTTTTTTTAACCCGTACTAAAATTCGGTTTTAGCTGCTATTTATTCCGTCTACTACTGAAATTGAGTTTTGCTGCTATTTTAGTCCCACGGCTCATACTTTGCCTTCATTTTTAGATGCTCCGATCCATATTAGTTTCTTTATTTTATTTAATCAGATTTTTTATTTTTATTTTGCATAGCTAATTCAGCTATATATATTACGTTTAGGCCTCGCCATAGATGCTCTTAGCCTCTAATTTACAAGTAGCTTGAGGCTTAGTAAGTTAGGTGCCATGAATGTTATCCAACATTCAATTTTTCTGAATTTTTTTAGGATGCATTAGGTGTTATAATTGTTGGGTGTGTTTCGAAAAAACAAAGAAAATAATTAATAAAAATTAATTAATTAAATGACTAAAGAAAAATAGAAAACAGATGAAGCAGAATTTAGCCAGAGCTCGTGCTACGCACGATGTCTTTAAAATGTATTCGTCGCCGTCCACGGTGCTAGGAGCGTTGCAACGACCGTTTCCCAGGATACGGTGGCTCACGAACAAACGTTTGAGCACACAAACGAATGTTCCTGCGAACGGGAACAAGTCAGAACACTTAAGAAATTTTCAGAATGCTGGAGGTGTTTTTAGAGCTCAAAATACGTGTATGATTGCTTGTGAATATGTCTTTGTTTCAAAGCACCTGCCAGCTATTTATAGGAGGATTTGTTGTGTGTTAAATGAAGTTTTAAAAGACATGAACGTTGGACATCAATGACCAGTCCGTTGGGCATTGAATCGTCCATAAACTGTCCATTTAACGATGCATTAAAAGATAAGAACGTTGGACATTTATTGTTGTAACGGTCCAGAAGACCTCGAGCCTTTCTGTTGCGACCAGAAGACCTCGACCCCTTCTGTTATGAACAGAATGCCTCGGCCCCTTCTGTTGTGACCAGAATACCTCGGGGGTTTCTGTTGAGCCGAACAGAAGTGGAGCGGTTCTGTTGAGAACATAACCTTCTTTTAGTCCGGACAGAAGCGGAGCAATTCTGCCAGCCTGAAAAAATAAGGAACGTTTACTGGAAGAAACAAAAACTAAATCGTATCTTTGAATGATAGATTTTCGAACGACATTTGTGTCCGTTGGTCGCCTGCGCACACGAGTCGTGATTTTTCTTCTCCGTTTTCGAGATTTGATCGGCACCCCTTCCTGCGTGTGAAGAGAGCCTTTCCCCGTAGGAATCTTAACTCCTTCAAAGAGGATTCCCTTTATAAGGGGGTGAAAATACATTGAGTTTTCCGGTGTGGGATAAAACACACTAGAAACCCATCATTTTCATAGTTTTTCCATTTTTAACGAGTGAACTTCGAGAATCAATTTCTCATTCACCCGTTATCCATTTTGAGTGTACCACATATCGAATTGTAGCCCTTAACAAGGACAATCTGAAACCACTTTGACCCGACCCAAATCGGAAGTGCACACCACTCAAAATATTGCCCCAAAATGACCATTTAATGCAATTTTTAACACAGTTTTCCAACAATAATACGTATATAAAAAGTAGTTAGTAAAAATCATCTAAAACGAGTGCGTCCATCTCCCTCTGAGTAGGGTTTGTGGAGCTGCGCACGTTATGTGCGATTCGTTCATCGACAAAGCAGGCAGAGGCGGACGTGAATTCTGCTTCTCCCCTATATGGCTTGATTTCATCTTTCTTCTAGCATTCTTCATTGGTAAAGCAGAGTAATATCGCAGGTGTACTCCTTGAGGTGGAGCACGTTAAGGATGCAGTCAATTACAGCTTACTCAGACGAGAATCAAAGCTTTTGCTTGGGATGGAGGACATCGCAGATAGATATAACAACATGGAGATAGGTGGAGATGAGGACGAGCTGGTTTTCGACGAGGAGTCAGTCGGCGAGGGAGAAAACTCGGATCGCAGTGCTACTTTCCCAATCGTGGGTACTCTTCTCAAAAACAAAATGGTGAAATTTCCGGTGTTTAGGGATCTCATGGTTTCTCTATGGCGCCCTGGGAAATGGATCTCAATCAAAGAGATCGGCGAAAAAAGGTACCTATTCACTTTTTATCACATCGATGGCTCGGATTTAGGCGTGCCCGCCGAAGCTGATGGTAATACCCTCCTTGGCGTCTTCGTCTACAATTGTTTTTATTTTGCTAACTGTCCTCTTTTGTTATGCAGATTTTGTGATGGACCGCAGATCCGTCATGGCCCTTGCCAAGGCGAAGGCGAAGGAGGAGATGGCTGCCAAGGAGGCCGCGAAGCTGGCCGCTGCGAGTGGTGCGCAGCCGAGTTCAGATGCGGCAAAGAAACCGCCCACCCAGCCGAAGAAAAAGCGGCTGGTTGATGACGGTCAGAAGAAGTTGACTGAGGCTGGCATGCAGCCTTCGAAGAAGTCGAAGTGGCTTCTCCTTCGGCTGAGGCTGATGCCGGGGTTGCAACTGTGCCGGCTGATGATGTTGGGGGCTCTAATGCCATTGTTGTTGTCGAGATGGTTTCTGCCCCCTCGTCGATTGCTATGTCCTAGCCGCCCCCTATCGGCCAAGACTCCCGGAAGAAGAGGGCCGGAAAGGAGTTGGCCAACGGGACCTACAAGCTTGAGGTCGAGTACCCTATCAAGGGTGGCATTTTTAACGATGATGTTGACGGCCATGACGTGCTTGCCCAAGCTGTCCCGGTTGAGGACCGGGCTTATCTGAAGAAGCTTGGCCCCGTCAGGATTTATGACGGCGGGATGGACCTTGTCTTCCAAGTAAGTTCCTTGTACTTTACCCTTTTTACACTTCTTGATGCCACAAGTGTTTGCATCGTCCTAACCTTCTCATTCATTGCAGGGGGCCCTTATGCTGATGGAGAACCATAAGAGGCAGGAACAAGAGATTGCTCGGTTGAAAGAGGCTGAGCAAAAAGCGGATTCGGCCGAGGAGGCCATGGCCTACCTGGACTGGCTCCGGGACGAAGTGGGGGCCCTGAAGAAGAGGGTCGATGACGCCGATGCGACCTATCATCAGGTGGCGGCCGAAAGGGATGACGCCTTGAGAGTAAAGGATGAGGCGCTAAAGGGTCGCGACGAAGCCCTGCTCCGAGCCGAGGATGCCGCGAAATCCCAAGCTGAAGCCGAGAAGGCTGCTGAGAAGGCTGCTGATGCCGCAGTCGAGAAATTTCTGGTCGAAGGTCGTCGGCCCTGGTGCTACGAGGTTGTGGCGGACCGGCTAGAAGATTGGGCCAGAACTGCCCTACCGGCCAAGACTACTTTCAAAGGGAGATGTCTGTCTATTACGACATGGGTCAGCAGAGGATGCAACGGCCAATCTACCAGAGGCTGCATCGCGCTTTCAAAAAGCTGAAGCTTACCCAGAGATGGGCCAGGAAGAATCTGATGCTTCCCAAGATAATGAAGGACCCAGAGGACGAAGCAAATCTCCCCCCTTTTGAGAGGCAAGCCCCGATACTCAACTCCTCCATTGGTGAGCCGGATTGGTCCGACGACGACGCCTTGGCCGACACTGTTGTCTCCGCAGTAGCCGAGGCCAGTGCAGATGTGGGGACGGAGGAGGGCACCGAAGTTGTTGTCGAGAAAGCCGATGTGGGGCAGGTTGCTGATGAGGTCGCCCCGGAGAATTGATCGGCCAACCCTCTTTTCCCTTTTTTTAGCTTAGGTCGGTGTTGTGGCGCCCTTATTTTGTAATGGCCGTTGTGCCCCCATGTACCTTTCCTTTGATGAATGAAAATATGTTTCTCTTTCGACTTTAGTGTTTACGATGTCCTCCTCGTCTTTCCTTTCCTTTTGCTTTTGTTATCCTTACTTCGAAATTTTTCCAAGTGTTTAAGTTGGGACTTGGACAATCATTCTCTTTGGTTGTTTCCTCTGGTTGTGGCCGAAGCAGGTGATGGATAGTATACCCGGGGGGTAGCTTATCCGAGGGGTTATTACGGAGAATAACTAGAGAGAAGTCAGAGTAAGTAAGTATAGAGAGAGAAAGTATATTAGCAAGTATCCAGCGTGTTGTGACTTGGTTACAAATGGGGAAATGGGGTGCTATTTATAGCAGCAATAAATGCCAGACAGGGACACGTGTCAAGCGTCCATTGGCCGAGAGGTCACCTCAACTGGTTGGCGCTGACAAACGCATGTGGCCGCATTTAATGCGGCTGTTGGATGGGGCGTTGTACAGGGTAAGGTGATCCATACGCATGTGGAGCGGATATTGTGTCGGAAAAGGCGCCCTCGGCAGTAGATGACAAGCCGAGGGCTCTGAGTACCGGGGACCCCCTTAGTGCCGAGGGCTACTGATTTTCGCCGTTTTTCCCAGTAACTTTGTTTTCCTGTCTTGGCCCTCCTGTGAGAGTTAGAGCCTTCGGTCAGGGGGCTGAAGACACCCCTGGTGCGCATTGTGGGCTGCTTGGTACTTTGGGCGCGGTGATTCGGGCCTGTTGTGCTTTCTGGGCCTGTTGGGCCTTCATTGGAGTAGTAGGTGTCTGTGGGCCGGGGGTTCCCGGGCCATATACTCCATCAGGAGTCCCTCACTCCTTTTTTCGAAAGGTACTTGAGGGAAAATGAGTAATTGTGTTTGTCCTCTGCCGTTGTTCCATTGTAGTTTGTGGTGTTGTGGGTAGTTTGTTGTTTGTTTATTCTGCCGGGGGCAGTCCCTCAGTTACCCACATGTCGGGACTTGAGGGGTCATGTTTGTGATTTTTGTGATTTTTCCCGGGGGTGGGGGGGGGTTCTCCAGTCCCCCACTCCTTGAGGCACTTGCAAAGTGGTGAAAAGGAGTAGAGTAGTTGCGTTGCTGTTTTGGGCCGAAGGCTGACGCTTTTCGTTTCATTTTGGGGGGATGCCTCGTTAAAAACCTCATTAGGAAAAACCCTATGGGAAAAAATCCTAATGAGGGAAAAAGAGTGCACCGAATTCCCCCAACGATGAATCGAAAATGTGAAACCTTGGTTCAAAATGGAGAATAATGCTGATGCCGAAGGCTTTCCTTGTTCTGAGGGCTCATGTGTTGATTAGCCGGGGGCATGCTGTTGATTTCCTGGGAGGTACCGAAGGGGAGTCCCTCAATCTGGGGATCGAGGGCGTCATGAATGTGAGTAGCAGTTGAAGTGTCACCGGGGTGCCCCCTGTTTGTTGTTCAGTTGGGGAGAAGGGTATCCGAGGGCTCCTGTAACCTGTGTGCCGTAGGCTGTCCGTCAATGAGGCGCATTTCCCGGGGGCTACCCGGCCCTCAAAGTGCTGAGGGGGGATCCCCGAGGGGTGGCCTGTTATGAGGCCGTGGGCTTCTGAAGGAGTGAGCCCGAAGGCACTTGTTATGTAGTAGCCTTCGGGGACACTTTGAGTTGTTGTTGGCTGAGCCTGCCATGTTTTGTAGTATTTGAACCTTCGGTTTTATGTGTAGCTGGAGGCAATCCTTGAGTGGACTTAGCCATTTGTTGATGATGTCTGTTATGAACGGTATCCTTTGTGCTTGTGAACTTCCAGGTACCGAAGGTGTTCCCGTGGGGAGCCCTCGGTATGTTTTTATGAATTGTTGGAGTGATGTACTCATTGATTTCTCGCCGAGTCTACTCCCCTTCACCACCCCATTTTTTTTTGAGTAGTGAAGGGAAGGCTTCAAGAAACTTGGTTTCTTGGTAAGGTTTGGCCTATCGGGAGGTAACTGAATACACCATAAGCTCCCCCCTCGGGTTAACCTTCCGAGTTCTGAGGGGATCGAGGGTCGATTCCTGGGTACAAGATGTGGTGGTCTGTAGCCTGCCTCCCCTTGGGGGATGGCGCGGAAAGCGCCTCAGTTTTGAAAGTCGTCCCCTCGGTGCTAGACATAGTCCATGGCCTGCCACACCCTTGGGGTGGTGGCGCGGGGAGCGTTTCGGATTGGAAGTCGAATCCTGGGCATTTATCGTGCCTGTCATACCCTTGGGGTGATGACGCGGAAAGCGTTCCGTTTTTGAAAGTCGAATCCTGGGCATTTCTCGTGCCTGTCATACCCTTGGGGTGATGACGCGGAAAGCGTTTCAGGGAAGGGTTTTCATTTGCACACTGGTTGCAAATGGCCGGGTGCACTACGTGCTGCCGGCACCGAGAAGTGGCGCCTTCGGTATAGGCGTCCTCGAGGAGTACGACTTAGAAACAACACTTGGTGTTTGTTCCGATTTGCGGCCCCCGGTACTTGGTACCGAGGGGTCTTTTGTGAAAACACTTGGTGTTTTTTCCCATTTTTTGGAGATGATTGTGTCGTCTACCCTCGGTACTTGGTACCGAGGGGTCTTCTGTGGAAACACTTGGTGTTTCTCCCCGATTGTTGAAGGGGATTGTGTTATCTACCCTCGGTACTTGGTACCGAAGGGTCTTCTGTGGAAACACTTGGTGTTTCTTCTCATCTGTTGAAAGCTGCTGGTGGCGTGTCCCCCCGGCACCAGGTGCCGAGGGGGTTCCTTTTGGGGACGGGTGGTGCTTTGTTGTAGGTGATAGTATTGTCTACCCTCGGCACTTGGTGCCGAGGGTTCTTCTATTATGGTGAGGCCTTGGGCCTGAGGGTGATATGAGGGTTTGGCCCTTGTGATATTCTTGTTCCGTGTTCTCGGTGTCTTCAAAATGCCTTCATTCTTCAGAATTCTTAGGCCTTGGGGCGTAAAATAATACATTCACTAGTTATGAGAGCTTGGCCGCTCTGATGTTATTGATAAAATTTAACTAAGTGATGTACATTCCAGTGCCTAGGGACTTCAGTCCCGTTAGGGCGTTTTAGCTTGTATGTTCCGGGTTTGATGATGGCTGCCACGATGTAGGGGCCCTCGAACTTTGGTGCCATCTTTCCTCCCTCGGTTGGTTGGCTAGCTTCCCTTCTTCGGAGAACATAGTCCCCCACTTGGAATTCCCGGGAGCGAACCTTGGCATCAATGTAACTTTTCACTTGCCTTCAGTAGTTTTCCGTGCGCATGAAGGCTTGCTCTCGGCGTTCTGAAATCAGGTGGAGGTCGAGGGCCATATTGGCGTCGTTGGCCTCTGGATCATACTGTATGACCCTTCGGGTTGGAAGAGTTACCTCGGTGGGGGCCTTGCTTCAAATCCGTAGTAAAGGGAGAAGGGTGTCTCGTCAGTTGCCCGCCGAGGGGTGGTACGGTAGGCCCATAAGATGTTGTGGAGCTCTTCTACCCAACCACCCCCTTCGGCCTCCAGCTTCTTTTTTAGGCCCTCGAGCAAGGTCATGTTGGCGTTCTCCACTTGACCGTTGCCCTGAGGGTAAGCAACGGACGAGAAGGTGTGTTTGATGCCCCATGCCTCTAGGAGGGCACAGAAGGGGGCTGCCTCGAACTGAGTCCCGTTGTCGGAGATTATTTGCTGAGGGACGCCAAACCTGGTGAGGATGTTCTTGAGAAAAAATGACGGCACCTGGCCTCAGTGATGCTGGCGAGGGGCTCCGCTTCCACCCATTTGGTGAAGTAATCGATGGCGACAATGATGTATCTGTTGTTGGAGGTACCCCTCGGCAGAGGGCCCACGAGGTCTATGCCCCATCGAGCGAAGGGTATGGATGTGCTGATGGGGGCATAGTTGACCGCTGGCCTGCCGGGGGCTTTCTGGAAGTGTTGGCAAGCGGGACACCTCCGGGCAAGATCTGCACAATCCTGGGCCATCGTAGACCAGAAGTAGCCCTGGATTATTAGCCTTTGGGACATGGAGAAGGGTCCCTGGTGAACTGAGCAAGTGCCACTGTGTACTTCCTCCATCCCCACTTCAGCTTCATCTTGATGAAGGCACCGAAGTAGTGTCCCGTTGTAGGACCTTTTGTAAAGCCTCCCGTCTTCGATAATGTAGCTGGGAGACCTCAGTTTTGCCAGCTTGGCGCGGGCCTCATCCTCGGGCAGTTGCCCTGTGGTGATGAAGGCGACGACGTCTGAGATCCAGTCGCCTTGCCTTTGTTGTATGTGCATGATGGGGCTAGCATGTATGCTAGAGAGGCTGAGTTATTCTATGTTGGCAATCTTCGAGATATGCTCAGGGGATTCTGCCGAGAGCTTTGATAAAATGTCGGCCTCGTAGTTTTGAGCCCTCGGTATTTGAGTAAGAGAGTGTGCCTCAAATACCTTAAGCAACTCCTTGGCCGCCTCCTTGTATTGCTTCATTCTCCCTTCCTTGGCTTCGTACTCCCCGGAGATTTGGCCGACGACTAACTTGGAGTCGCACTTGACGTGGATTTGTCGGGCCTTCATGTTAGCTGCCAGCCGAAGGCCACAGAGGAGAGCCTCGTATTCGGCTTCATTGTTGGAGACTTTGAAGGAGAAACGGACTGCATAATAGGCCCGGAAGCCCTCGGGTGAGATGAGAACCACCCCTCCTCCACATGCCTTGATGGCGGAGGAGCCGTCGGTGTAGAGAGTCCACCAATCATCTGAAGGGGCCGAGGGCTCCTCGTCTGTGGCTGCCCTTGCCGTACACTCCGTCACGAAGTCCGCTAGGGCTTGGCCCTTGATGGCGGGCCTAGGACGGATGTCGATGTTGCATTGGCTCAAGAAGACAGCACATTTTACCATTCGGGAGGAGCAAGTGGGGCTCCTCATCAAGGCGCCGAGGGGTTGGTGAGTGAGGACCTGGACCGGGTGAGCTTGGAAGTAGTGGCCCAACTTCTTGACGGTCCATACGATAGCCAATACTGTTTTTTCCACGGGGGAGTACCGGAGTTCCGCCTCCCTGAGGGTCTTGCTAACATTGAAGATGGCATGCTGGAAGTCATCCTCTTCCCGGATGAGTACTGAGCTGATGGCAGCCGGGCTAACACCCAAGTAGAGGTACAGGATCTCCCCTACCTTGGGTTTAAAGAGCACAGGGGGTGAAGATAAGTATCGTTTCAGCTCCTCGAATGCCCCCTGACATTCTGAAGTCCACTGGAAACCGGCGGTGTAACACCCCGGCCCCGTAGGCCCCGAGGTAGTTACTTCTGACCTCTAGTACTGTCCTCACAAACCGCCACTAGCCTTTTCCGCGCACTTTGTCCTCACTCGTGCGCGCCCTGAGAAACTTCCCAGGGGGTCACCCATCTTAAGACTACTCCCGTGCAAGCACGCTTAATTTTGGAGTTCTTGGCTAATGAGCTCCCTTAAAAGGAGATGCATCTTGTTGGTATGAGTAGTACTATTAATCCATTTAAATTAAATCTCAAGTGTTACAATCACCCCCACTTAGGATCGCAACGTCCTCGTTGCGTCCTTGAACCAATCTCAATCATATCCCAGAATCTTTTCCCCTACTAAGTGCCCGCCCGATATCCAACGGATCAACACACTGTCGCAGGGTTGCTCTGATACCATTTGTAACACCCCGGCCCCGTAGGCCCCGAGGTAGTTACTTCCGACCTCTAGTACTGTCCTCACAAACCGCCGCTAGCCTTTTCCAAACACTTTGTCCTCACTCGTGCGCGCCCTGAGAAACTTCCCAGGGGGTCACCCATCCCAAGACTACTCCCGTGCAAGCACGCTTAACTTTGGAGTTCTTGGCTAATGAGCTCCCTTAAAAGGAGATGCATCTTGTTGGTATGAGTAGTACTATTAATCCATTTAAATTAAATCTCAAGTGTTACAGGCGGTTTTCCTCATGATCTGGAAGAAGGGTAAGGACTTCTCCGCCGATTTTGATAAGAAGCGATTGAGGGCTGCCAGGCGGCCCGTCAATCGTTGGACCTCCTTTACGTTGTGTGGGGGCTCCATGTTGATGATGGCCTGGATTTTCTCGGGGTTGGCCTCGATACCCCTTCGGCTCACCATGTTGCCCAAGAATTTGCCCCCTGGACGCCGAAGGTGCACTTCTTGGGGTTCAGCCGAAGGCTAAACTTCTGCATGATGGCGAAGATCTCCCTCAGGTCATCAGCATGGCTTGCTGATTGCTTGCTCTTGACGATCTTGTTGTCAACATACGCCTCCATGGTGCGCCCTAGGACGGCTTGGAATACCTTGGCCACCATCCGAGTGTAGGTGGCACCTGAGTTCTTTAGGCCGAAGGCCATGACGAGGTAGTAGAAGATGCCCTCGGGAGTCATGAAGGCTATTTTTTCAGCGTCTTGCTCATGCATGTATATTTGATGATATCCGCGGAATGCGTCGAGGAATGACATGATTTCACACCCCGCGGTTTCATCCACGATTTGATCAATATTTGGCAAAGGAAAGGGGTCCATGGGACACGCCTTGTTGAGATTCGTGTAGTCCACGCACATGCGGAATGAGGGTGGTTTCTGTGCGAGGACCACGTTTGCCAGCCATGAGGGGTATTTTACCTCCTTGATGTGCCTGATAGAGAGGAGCATGGCGACCTCCTTCTTTACGAATTCCCTCCTCTCGGCCGAGAGGGGTCTCCTCCGCTGCTGTACTGGTTTGGTCGAAGGGTCCACCGAGAGGCGGGGGGTGATGACCCTTCGGCTGATCCCCGGCATGTCCTCTGGCCCCCATGCAAAAACAATGGAGTAGGCGCGGAGGGCGCTGATGATGTCGGTCCTCAAATCTTCAGGGAGCTTGGCTCCAATGTTCACGACTCTCTCCGGCTTGGCCGGATCGAGCGCGAAGTCTTCTACCTCCTCGGCTGGTTCAGCCCTCAGCCTCCTTTCTTCCACTTCCACAGTTCCGGTGATGGTGTCAACGCAGAACTCCGTCTTGCTAACCTTCTTTGTAACTTGAAGGTAGCAAGCGCGGGCAAGCTTTTGGTTTCCCCTTGAGTAACCGATTCCCCCTTCGGCTGGGAACTTGAGGCAGAGGTGCCTCATGGAGATGACGGCTTCGAGATCCTCAAGGGCTGGCCTGCCGAGGATGATGTTGTGGGCGCAGTCGATGTTGACGACGACGAACTCCACTTCGAGCTTGGCTCTATGGAGGCCGTCGCCGAAGATTACTGGGAGGGTTATTCCCCCCTCGGAATCAATGGTGTCGCCGGTGAAACCGGCAAGAGGGGTCTTGATGGGCCGAAGGGACCCCCTCTCCAGATGCAGCTCTCTGAAGGTGTTGAGGTACATTACATTGACGGAGCTGCCCGTGTCAATGTAAGTTCTGTGAATAATAGTGTCGTTGATCTCTGTGCGGATGACGAGGGCATCCCTGTGGGGGGAGGATACTGGGGGGAGATCAGCGTTGGTGAAGATAATGGGTTCCTCCCTCACGTAAAGTGATTGAGCCCACTTCTTTCGTTGACTCGTAGAGTCACCCCCGGTATTTCCCCCTGTAATCATGAGGATGTGACGTTTCTTTTCTTGATACCGGGGGTACTCCTCCTCCTCTTCTTCCAAGTTCCCAATCTCCCTCTTTTTGCCGAGGGGGATGGTGTTGGGGTTGACCCATGCATTCGCTCTCGCAGTTTGCCCTCGGGGTGGCCCCTGATGAGGGGGGCCTTGCTGCTGAGGGCCCTGGACAAACTGGGACAGATGGCCAGCTTGTATCAATCTCTCGATGGCCGTCCTCAGCTGATGGCAATCATCGGTCCTGTGCCCCTGGTGTCGGTGTAAACGACAATAGGGGTAGTTTGGATTGATGGCAAATACTTCCGAGGGCGCTCTCCTCAGCAAAATCCAGGATGACGCTAACGGGGTGCGTCAATGGTGTCCGAGGGTGCTCCAGGAGGACAGGCTGTGCCCAAGCCCTCGGGTTCCCCTTGTAGCCTCCCCCAGGCTTGGCTTGGCCGTGCCGGGGGCGATCACCGGAGGGGGCAGGATCCCTGGGATGATTGCGGGGAGCCCCCGGTTACCTTTGTCTTCTGGCCGAGGGCGTTGCTGATCTGGGACATGGTGGCATTTCTCCTCCTCCTCGGCCTCGGCGTACCGGTCCCCCCCGCTGTAGGGCCCTTATATAATCGCGGGGGGTTCGATGATGAGGCTCCTTGAGAAGTTCCCGGGGCGGAGTACTGTTTGTAGGAGGGCCAGGAGGGTCCCGTCGTCAGCGCCATCAACTTTATCAGCCTCCGTCCTCCAGCGCTCCAGGAAGTCCCGAAGGGTCTCCTCCTTCTTCTGCCTCACTGTTAGCAAGTGGGAGAAGTGTTTTCTTGTGCGGCGCCTCCCCGCAAATTCGTCAAGATTCGCTGGGCGAGTTCTTGCCATGAGTCAATGCAGCCCTCGGGCAATCGATTGAACCATTCGCAAGCTGGCCCTTCTAGGGTGGAGAGGAACCAGCGGCACAAATATTCATCCGATGCCCCCACCATCATCATGTTGTTTTGATACCGGCTGTAGTGCTCTTGGGGGTCAGTCTTTCTGTCATAGGGCTTGATGAGCTGCCCTCGGTATTTTTCCGTGATCTGGGCCGCCAATACCCTTGGGGTAAATGGCGTCCGGGTCCGAAGCTGTATGGTGGGTTCCCCGGAGCCCTCGGCTATCTTCTTCTGCGTTTCCTCCATCTTGGCCATCATCGCCTCATACTTGAGGTCCGTATGAGGGGCAGAAGTGGTGGTGTGGGCTTTGGTGGCCTCCATCTCGTCAAGCCGGCGCTGGAGGGCCGCAATGATTTTGTCTCGGGGGTCCCTCGGGAGGGTCTTCGCCCCCTGCGAATGGACCCGAGCCGAGTGGGCCTGGTTGATTTGGTGGCGCGCGTCGTCGGCATGGAGAGGTGCCTTGCCCTTGTCCTGAGGGGGACGCCTTTCATTGGCCCTTGAGACGGACCCGTCACTTTCCTGAGGCCTTTGGAACGCCTTCCCCCCAAGGCGGTCTTGGACGCCCCTCTGAGTCTCTCGAGGGCGGAGGTCCGGAGTTGTTCCTTGTTCACGTTGTGGCGGTCCCGGGACTGGACTTCCTGGGAGGCCGTATCTTGGGCCACGACCCCCTCGGAGTTCCGGAGGACCGGGTTACCGAGGGGTCGTGGATGAGGGGGAGGCATGATATTCTCCCCCGCCTGAGGTTGGAGGGGAACCAAAGTGCCGAAGGCACCCGGGTTCTGGGTGAGCGTCTGGATGAAGGCGGAGAGCGCCGATTGTACGTCGATGGTGATGACCGGAGGGCTAATTTGATTTTCGCTCCGGTCCTTTTTCTTGGCCTCGATGCCGAGGCGGGCATCGGGGGCATTTTGTTGAATCTGCTGGCGTAGGTCGACAGCCGTCTGGTCTAACCCGGCGATGACGCCGCCCCCGGGAGCCCTGTTAGAGGCCTCGGGGACGTCGACCTCACCGAGGGCCAGGTTCCTGTCCTCTACATTCTTGGAGTTGGCACGAGTTGTTCTCACCATTTTAGATGGGTGTTTTGTATTTGGTCGAGGTGGAGGGTTTCTTACTTGATTGTTCGACCTCTCAACGAGAGCACCAAATGATGGATAGTATACCCGGGGGGTAGCTTATCTGAGGGGTTATTACGGAGAATAACTAGAGAGAAGTCAGAGTAAGTAAGTATAGAGAGAGAAAGTATATTAGCAAGTATCCAGCGTGTTGTGACTTGGTTACAAATGGGGAAATGGGGTGCTATTTATAGCAGCAATAAATGCCGGACAGGGACACGTGTGAAGCGTCTATTGGCCGAGAGGTCACCTCAACTGGTTGGCGCTGACAAACGCATGTGGCCGCATTTAATGCGGCTGTTGGATGGGACGTTGTACAGGGTAAGGTGATCCATACGCATGTGGAGCGGATATTGTGTCGGAAAAGGCGCCCTCGGCAGTAGATGACTAGCCGAGGGCTCTGAGTACCGGGGACCCCCTTAGTGCCGAGGGCTCCAACTGCCGAGGGCTACTGATTTTCGCCGTTTTTCCCAGTAACTTTGTTTTCCTGTCTTGGCCCTCCTGTGAGAGTTAGAGCCTTCGGCCAGGGGGCCGAAGGCACCCCTGGTGTGCATTGTGGGCTGCTTGGTACTTTGGGCGCGGTGATTCGGGCCTGTTGTGCTTTCTGGGCCTGTTGGGCCTTCATTGGAGTAGTAGGAGTCTGTGGGTCGGGGGTTCCCGGGCCATATACTCCATCAGCAAGTAACTTAGGTGATCATGCTTCGTCCATAATGAACACCCCTTGCTTTAACAGCACTTTAGAATTTATTCTAGGTGTCATACTTTAAGTGATTGAGTGTCCGCTTCGTCTTGTGTCATCCCCCACCCCTTTTTATTTTACTTGCAATTTTTCCAAGTGTTGAACAAGAACTCATGAACCTACTTCCTGTAGTTGTGGCCGATGAAGGATCTTGCCCTTTGCTCGGCTGGGGGGGGGAATGTCTTCTTCGTCTTTGTAATGTTTGGTGTCCCACTTTTTTGTGGAAATCTCTAAGTGTTTAGCTTAGAGTATGTGTCCGCTTCATTCTGACGTGGACGATGAGAGTTGTTGATTCTCCGTCCGGCCTTAGGACCCTAATGATGGTGACGTGGACACGATTACCTAGGGTGCCCCTTAGGAATTTTCCCAAATATTTGGAAATTGTTCCAATTGTTGGATAAACTTTGGTGATTGCTTCCTTAATGGGTAGCTGATGACGGCTTCCCGTTAAGGTTGCCTGATGCCGGCTATGTGGCGCCCTTGTCGGCCACGGGAGTTTACCTTGGCATTTTTGTCCAAGTTTCCTCTCTTTTTTCTTTTCGTACGAACGTTTTCGCCCATAATGCGTGGTATTTTCCTGATACGTACTCAATTTCGGGGATTTTATTTTTATTGCTCGTGGCCGGTCCATCGGCTTCCCTCTTTTGTCTTTGGGGATATCGCTTTAGGCTGGCAAGTGTGTGGTCCTTCGGTTGTCCCTCTTTTATTTTTGGGGATATCGCTTTAGGCCGGCAAGTGTGCGGTCCTTCGGTTGTCCCTCTTTTATTTTTTGGGGATATCGCTTTAGGCCGGCAAGTGCACGGTCCTTCGGCTGTCCCTCTTTTATATTCTTCCTCTTTACTTCTTTGAGCGAGGAGTGGGTATCCTTCTTTAAGGCTTCGTCCAAGGGGTCGATAGTCCCTCGTCCGGTAAGGAGTCCTACTGGATCGTCATGTAATCTCAGGGAGGTCCCGTCGCCTATTTATGACGCGGGCTAACGCTTTTGGTCGTTTATCGACGGCTGTCGTTCCTCATCCCTAAGTTTGGGGATTTTTGTCACCTAGGCCATGATTTCAGACTTGTCGTCCTGCGATTTCGCGGGTGGGCGACGCGGTGAGCTTCCCATTTCAAGACGTGGGCTCTTTGTGGGCCCTTCGTCCTGGGGACACCGTCAACCTTACCTGAGCGTCTCGCTCTAAGGGGCCGAAACGATGTGCTCTGTCGACCTTTCCTGAGCATTTTTGCTTTGAGGGGTCAGTGTAGTATAGTATCATTTCCTTGAACTTTTTAGAAAAGTAGAATACAACTTTTATTGATAAGTGGCTCGAGGCCGAGGGTGGCGTTCGACCAACAATCCGTGGGAAGGTGAGGGCTTTGCCGGCTGCGCCGTCCCCGGATTATTGATAGAATTTGACCAAGTGATGTACATTCCATGTCTGTGGTACATTGGACCCATTTGGGTGTTTTAGTTTGTAGCTGCCGGGCTTGACCACGACACTGACGATGTAGGGGCCTTCGTATTTGAGTGTCAGCTTGCCACCTTTCGTCGGCTTACTCGCTTCTCTTCGGCGAAGGACATAGTCCCCCACCTTGAATTCCCGGGAACGTACCTTGGCGTCATAGTATGATTTTACTTGACGCCGGTAGTTCTCTGCCCGGATGAAGGCCTGCTCTCGTCTTTCTTCGATCAGGTGGAGATCAATCTTCATGTTTTCTTCATTGGCTTCAGGCTCATAGCGCTCCACCCATCGGCTGGGTATGGTGACCTCTGTGGGCGCCTTTGCTTAAAAGCCATAGCAAAGGGCAAAGGGTGTTTCGCCCGTCGCCCTCCTCAACGTAGTACGGTAGCACCACAGAATATTGGGGAGCTCATCGGCCCAACTGCCCCCCTGCGTCTTGGAGCTTCTTCTTCAAGCCTTCCAGGATGGTTCTGTTGGCGTTCTCGACTTGCCCGTTGCCTTGAGGATAGGCAACGGAGGAGAAATGATGTTTGATTCCCCACTCTTGGAGGAGCTCTTGGAAGGGTGCGGCCTCGAACTGGGTGCCGTTATCGGATATGATCTCATGAGGAACGCCGAAGCGGGTAAGGATATTCTTGTGGACGAATTTCTGACACTTGGCCCGTGTGATGCTGGCCAAGGGTTCCGCTTCGACCCACTTGGTGAAGTAGTCCACGGCGACGATGATGTAGCGGTTGTTGCCAGCGGCTCTGGGCAGGGGGCCGACCAGGTCAATACCCCATCTTGAGAATGGGATCGCGGTGCTGACCAGGGCGTAGTTGACGCCTGGCCGACCAGGGGCCTTCTGAAGGACCTGGCATGCAGTACACTTCCTTGCAAGATTAGCACAATCCCGCGCCATCGTCGGCCAGAAATAGCCCTGGACGATGAGACGTCGGGACATGCTGAAGGGGCCCTGATGAGAGGAGCAGACGTCACAGTGGACTTCCTCCATGGCCACCTCGGCCACATCCGGGTGAAGGCATCAGAGGAGAGTGCCATTGTAAGATCTTTTATAAAGTTTCCCATCCTCGATGGTGTAACTTGGGGTCCTGAGTTTGGCTAGCTTGGCTCTCTCCTCGTCGTGGGGCAGTTCTCCCGAGGTGATGAAGGTCATGATGTCGGTGATCCAGTCCTCCGACCGTTGTTGGATGCACGTGACCGGGCTGGCGTGGATGCTGGACATGCTCAGCTCTTCGACCTTAGCCATCTTGGAGATGTTCTCTGGAGTGTCTGTGCTGAGCTTGGAGAGGATGTCGGCCTCAGCATTCTCCTCCCTTGGGATCTGGGTGATCTCATGGGTTTCGAATGCCTTGAGCAACTCCTTGGCCGCCTGTTTGTATTGCCTCATCCTCCCTTCTTTAGCCTCGTATGAGCCCTCGATCTAGCCCACCACTAGCTTGGAGTCGCACCTGATTCTGATGTGTCGCGCTTTGAGGCCGGCGGCGAGTCTGAGACCGCTGAGGAGGGCCTCATACTCGGCTTCATTGTTGGATACCCTGAAGTTGAAGCGGATGGCATAATAGGCTCTGAATCCTTCAGGGGAAATGAGGACAACGACGCCACCACAAGCTTTGGCAGCCGATGAACCGTCAGTGAAGAGAGTCCATGTTTCGTCTGGCTCTGGCCCGGGCGTGGTAGCGGACATCTCCCTGGCTATGCACTCAGTGACGAAATCGGCCAAGGCCTGCCCCTTGATGGATGGCCTCGGCTTAATCTCGATCTGGAACTGGCTGAGGAAGATCGCCCATTTCACCATTCGTGAGGAACTGATGGGGCTCCGCATGAGTGCGCCGAGGGGTTGCTGAGTTAAGACGTGGACGGTATGGGCCTGGAAGTAGTGCCCTAGCTTTTTCACTGTATGGACGATGGCTAGTATCGTCTTCTCAATGGGGGAGTACCTGAGCTCGGCCTCCCGTAACGTCTTGCTTACGTAGAAGATTGCCTTCTGTACCCCCTCATCCTCGCGGATGAGCACGGAGCTGATGGCCGACGTGCTCACCCCTAAGTACAAGAAGAGGGTTTCACCGGCTTTGGGTTTGGAAAGCACAGGAGGGGACGATAACTACCTCTTTAGTTCCTCAAATGCTTGCTGGCACTCTGTCGTCCATCTGAAGCCATTTGCCTTGCGCATGATCTGAAAGAAAGGGAGAGACCTTTCAGCCGATTTCGAGAGGAAACGGTTTAGGGCCGCAAGGCATCCCGTCAGCCGTTGTACCTTCTTCACATTTCGTGGTGGCTCCATGTTGACAATGGCCTGTATCTTCTCTGGATTGATTTCAATTCCCCTTCGGCTGACCATGTAGCCGAGGAACTTGCCCCCCTTGACGCCGAAGGTGCACTTCTTTGGATTCAGGCGGAGCTGGAACTTCTTCATGATTTCAAAGATCTCCCGGAGGTCGGCGGCGTGGCTGGTAGATTGCTTGCTCTTGACGATCATGTCGTCGACGTATGCCTCCATCGTCTGGCCGAGGACTGCTCTGAAGACCTTAGCTACCATCCTGGTGTATGTGGCACCTGAGTTCTTGAGCCCAAAAGCCATGACTAGGTAGCAGAAGATTCCCTCCACGGTCATGAAGGTCGTTTTCTCGGTGTCGTCTTCGTGCATGAATATCTAGTGGTACCCCCTGAAAGCGTCAAGGAATGACATCAGCTCGTATCCCGCCGTCTCGTCCACCAATTGATCGATGTTGGGGAGAGGGAACGGGTCCATAGGGCATGCCTTGTTCAGGTCAATGTAATCAACGCACATTCTGAACGTCGCCGGCTTCTGGGCAAGGACGACGTTGGCCAACCAGGTTTGGTACTTCACCTCTTTAATGTGGTTGATTGAGAGGAGCATGGTAACCTCCCCCTTGATAAAGTCACGTCTGTCGGCCGAGAGATAGCGCCGCTGCTGCTTAATCGGCGTGGAGGCGGGGTCGACTGACAGCCGGTGAGTCATCACTTTTTGGCTGATGTCAGGCATATCGTCCGGCCCCATGCAAAAATGATTGCATTTGACTACAGGATGTTGAGGATGTCGTCGCGTTGATCCTGTGGGAGTTGTTTCCCGATTTTCAGGACCCGCTCCGGCCGGGAGGTATCCAGGGGGACCTCCTCGACCTCTTCGACTAGCTCGGCGTGCGGCCTCTCTTCGTCCTTGGTGACGGTGGCGGTGATGGTGTCCACTCTTTGCCCCGCGCTAGCTGCCGGCTTTGAAAGCTTTAGGTAGCATGCTCGGGCTATCTTCTGGTTCCCCCGGGCGTAGCCGATACCGCCGCTGGTAGGGAACTTTAGGCACAGATGCTTCATGGAGATGATGGCCTCCAGGTCCTCTAGTGCTGGCCGCCCCCATATCAAGTTGTGGGCGCACTCGAGGTTGGCCACCATGAACTCCATGTCAATCTTGGTGCGATGGGAGCTGTCGCCGACCTCCACGGGGAGGACAATCGTGCCTTCAGCGTCGATAGAGACCCCGGTGAAGCCGAACAACGGTGTCTGTATCGGCTTGAGCAGCGCTTTGTCCAGCTTTAGCTGCCTGAAGGTGTCAAGGTACATGACATTGACGGAGCTCCCCGTGTCGATGTAGGTGCGGTGGATGATAGAGTCACCTATCTCGCACCGGATGATGAGGGCGTCCCTGTGTGATGCGGGCCCCGGAGGCAGATCCTTATCGGTGAAGGTGATCGCCTCTGCCCGTTATTTCTTCGGCTGGGGGGTGTGGGACACCTCCCCAATGTAAAGGGATTGGACCGATTTCTTCCTCTGGGTGGCCGAGTCCCCCCAGTGTTGCCCCCCACAATGAGGTGGATGTGATTCTTCTTCGGAGGGGGCTCTTCAAAGTCTTCGTCATCATCGCTGAGTCTGCCAATCTCACGCTTCTTCGCAGAGGGTTCGTCCCCATGTTTGTCGGTGTTTACCCACGTATTTTTGCGCGGGCCACCTTTAACAAACTAGGAGACTTCCCCTTGATGAATCAGCTTCTCGATGGCTCTCTTCAGAGTGACGCAGTCATCTGTGTTGTGGGAGGTATTCCAGTGGTAACGGCAGTAGGTGCCGACCTGATGGACGGCATAGATCTCCTTTGCCGACCGAGGATCTCGCTCAATGAGGTCAAGATCCTCGGCGTAATCGAGGATGGAGCTGACCGAATGAGTAAGTGGGGTCTTCGGCCTTTCCATCCTTGGACGCCATATGCGGTCCTTGTTCTTTCCGCTAGATCCATGGCGGCCTTGTCCTCCCTGACCTCGGTCCCCGGCCGAGGGTGCACCTGCAGCTGGCGCGACGTTCATCTTCTTGGAGGGGTGCCCTCTGTCTTTCTTGTGGTTGTGGAGCTTGTCGGCATCAGCGTATAAGTTTCCTCGCTAAAACGCCTTCAAATAGGACCTCGGTGGGACAGTGATGAGGCTCCTTGCATATGGGGTGCTGCGGAGGGCGCCCTGAAATACGACAAGGAGGGTGCGCTCATCAGCCCCCTTGTCCTCATCGGTCTCCCTCGTCCATCGCATATGGGGTTCATCGTGATGTTTCTTGACGGAGAGAAGATGGGTGAAATACTTCTTCGCGCACTTCCTTCCCGCAAAGTGAGTGAGGAAGCGCTGGGCAAGGTCCTGCCACGAGTCTACGCTCCCTTCGGGGAGCACGTTGAACCACTCGTACGCTGACCCTTCAAGAGTAGAAAGGAACCAACGGCAGAGGTATTCATCTGACGCGTTCACCATAAGCATATTATTCTGGTAGCGGCTGAAGTGTTCCTGGGGGTCGGAACGGCCGTCGTAGGGTTTGATGGCATTTCCCCGGTACTTCTCAGGGATAGGGGCCGAGAGTACCCTGGCGGTGAAGGGAGTTCTCTTCCTGACCTGGATTATGGGGTCTCCTCGTCCTTCGGCCAACTCCCTCTCAAGGATGGTGACCTTGTTCAGAAGGGCGTTGAAGTCGGGATCTCTGGATGAGTTGCCCGCCGGGGTGGCGGCCAGCTGGGCAAGCCTTCACTCGAGTTAGGCGATCACCTCGTCCTTGGGGTCCCTGGCGGCCGTGGTGGCACGCTGCGTCTGCAAGCAGGCTGCGTGAGCCGTGTTGATTTGGTGACGGGCATCACCCTCATGCAGTTTCCCCTTGCCTTTGTCTAGGCGGGGCCAATCCGCTGTCCGTGATACTGACCCCAAGCTTTCCCTAGGTGAGCTAGGCTCACGCTGACCAATCCGCCCCGCCATCCTCTCCGAAGCAGGCTGACGGCACGTGTCACCTAGCCTGTTAAAGGCTGAGGCTTTTCCACGCGTTGGGGTCGGTCCATGATACGTTTGTAATTTCCATATGCATGTTTGTGTTTTTAATTAGTTTTGCTTGATCTTTTCTATGGAAATTACACACTTTTGGTGTAATAGATTAGTTTGTTAAATTCTTGTAAATAGTTTAGATTAGATATATTCTGAGCTCAAATAGGTCTTGATCACTCAAAGTACAGTTGGTGAACCCAAAGAGTGGAAAGAAGGTGCAAAATTTGAAGACAAAAGAAGGATCCTGAATTTTGGTCTATACTCGGTCGAGTATTAACTATACTCGATTGGGTATTAGGTTGAAACTTCAAATCGGATCAGATCCGAAGACAAGGGAACATGCCGGGAGGATTTTGACCACGATTTAATGTCTATACCCGATCGGGTAGACCGACATATCCGATCGGGTATGCCTTTGAGTTTTAAACGAAGATCGGTCGAGTATGGTCTGAATACCACTTTCTAAGCATACTCGACCGGGTATTAACATATACCCGATCGGGTATACTTATGGAAAATAGCCTGAAACCGATCAAGTATACCTCGGATCGAGTATTACACACATACTAGATCGGGTACCATGTATATAC